GATGTCCGAGCACAGTCCTGAGGGATATGTGTGTTTCCCTGCGTCGGTTTTCTCTCCACAGTCAAATCAGATTTTCACAACTGAAGAGCTGTTTTCTATGCACACCCATCCGTCCTTCATTTTCCCTGAACACTATGACTCGAGAAAGAGATTATACTTTCAGATGAACGTTTAATTACAATTATTAGGAAGTTTGTCGTTATGCCAGTGTCCCTGGGGAGATTTTAGCTCATGGAGTGAGTTTTTCCAGCAATTGATTTGGTTAGAAAATAAAATACTCCTTTGCGAATAATCCTTTAAAACCTACCACTTGTATTATTTTTAAAAGAGATGTTGTCAGTCCGTTCTATAAAGTATCTGTGATTAGCCCAAATACATCTGTTGATTACTACTTAGCCATAAACCTGCCTCATCTGAGATCGCGCGTTGGGTGTTTCCCACGCGTGCATCCAAATGCTTAGGAAAAGGGAAAAAAATGTAACACATCTGGTTTTCGAAACAATTCTCATGGAAAATTTTACCCTTGGGTGGAAAATAATGCAGAGTCACTCAGCTGAAACCTCACGTTCAGTGTACTTCATTGTCATCCCGCTTTGCCTCGTCCTTCCCAAGCTGATTTCCTAGCTCTTCCCCTTGCAAGAGCTAATCACTTTGTACAGTTTGCGCTAGAAGCACACGGGGGGCCTGCGGGGTAGGGTGCCGACGGGCAGAATCAGGACTGCCTTTAATGGACCCGTCTGTCCATAGCAGTTAAGTGCACAATGCCGTCCATCCGAGGACAGAAGATTAATGAGCTCTACTGTACGACAGCTGATTGCCTGGGAGTGAACATTCTCAGTTAGCGGGTCTGCCTCCCTTTCGTGGCATGGGTATTAGCTGGACAGCCTGCCTGCAAGAAAAAGAACACGTGTCTCAGAGAGCCGCGCCCTTTGCAGAAACCCGGAGATCCTGCCAAGGTGATAATCAGAACGGGGAACGTGGCCTGACTCCTTTCCCAAGGCTATATTCCCAAGGAAGGCAATTTCCCAGGCCTCGGTCTTCGCTCTGGGTCGTAGTGAACATTCTCACAGTTGCAGGCAGTAAATGGCAAAATGCATCATGTCCAAAGAGGTAAAAGGTATCGAATCAACTTTGGGAATAGTTCATAAAAAATTACCAGGTTGGGGCGCCTGGGTGGCTCAGTCGGTTAAGCGGCTGACTTCAGCTCCGGTCGTGATCTCAGTGTTCATGAGTTTGAGCCCCGTGTCAGGCTCTGTGCTGACAGCTTAGAGCCTGGAGCCTGCTTCAGATTCTGTGTCTCCCTCTCTCTGTGCCCATCTCCCTCTCACACTCTGTGTCTGTCTCTCAAAAATAAAATAAATACACGTTAAAAAAATGTTTTTAATTATCATGTTGGAAAATACTCAGCTGTGTGAATGTTCCCTGTTAACTGATCTTCAGTCACACGACTAGTGCTCTAGTGGCAGGAACCCGATTGTCCTCGAGAACAGAAAGCACTTTTAGCTCGCCTGGCCTTCCGGAAGAACTGGAAACCATGCAAGAGCTTATTGGATAGCTCTCACCTAGTTCCAGGAAGCTTGCCACTATGTTAAGCTTTCGAGACCTAAGGCTTCATCTACTAGTAATTCCCCAAATCAAGATTTTTAATGCAAGGGGATTAACAGTGCCAGAATTATGTGGTTCTAATAGGTGATCGCCTGTGAATTGGATTAATTTATTCAAAGAGAAGTCACTTTTTCTTCCAGGGATGTGGCATAATATTCTTTATTAAAACATCTAAGTATAGGGGCGTCTGGGTAGCTCAGTTGGTTGAGCATCCGACTCTTGATTTTGGCTCGGGTCATGATCTTGCAGTTCACAAGTTTATGTGCTGACAGTGCAGAGCCTGCTTGGGATTCTCTCTCTCTGCCCTTCCTTGCCTCTCTCTCTCTCTCTCTCTCAAAATAAACAAACTTAAAAAAAAAATCTAAGTATAAATATAGAGAACCTGATTTAAAACTCAGAGCAAGATCTGATGAAATTATGTTTCATGTTAGTCTCCAATGACAGCTGGTCACTAAAGAGCCTCCCTTGGGACCCAGCTTTAGGACCAAGTAGAATCTGTTTCCCTGGACCTTTGTCACTCACTGGTCCAGGACTCATTTGGAGCCTAGGGCCTTCAAGAGCCATCCTAAGTAAAAGTCAGTGCCTTTGGCTCCCTGGGCCTCCCAGACTTCGACTCACCTGGGTACCCACTTTTCTGTTTTGCCCAAGATGCAGAAACTTCCCGAAAGAGCACCTGTGCCAGACAGGGCCTGTATGTCAGACTGTGATCTGCTCTTTTTTTTTTTTTACATTTATTCATTTTTGA